AATAATAATGACGGCATAGCGCGGGCAGAGGCGCTACTTTCGAGCCGAATTATCGAATAGCTGGAAAATACGGAGCATTATTGGATAAGCAATTCTCTATATCTTTCGAGCCGTTTCGATTGGGCGCGCGCACACACCAATACCAAACAAAAGCTAATACCTCGGTACAACGAACCCAAGAAGTGAACAGTGCAAAGCTCTCGTCCGGTTGGAAGTAGTTTCTCGCCGATACGGTGCAACAACAATTAGCCGTGAAAGCGAATGGACTTGTCACTTGGCACATCCGCGCGCTTTAATTTTAAAACTGGCACTCGAACCACGGGGATGGGGACGGCGTTGGGTTGGATGGGGGGGGGGGCGCCCCCGCCAAACTCCTCTCGCGGCAAAAGTAAATCCTCTGGCGAGTCGTGGCATAAAATAAAGCGCCGATGCATCGGTTGCGCAATCCCGGCCTTGCGCGTGCAATCGCCGACACGTGCTGCGCTTTCCAGTGCATTTTTCCGATGAGGAGCTGTTGTGGAGGGGAGCTGTCAAGGACGCGCTGTTGTCTTTTGCTCGTATCAGCTGGCGGAGGCTCGCGGAAGTCCTCGCTGAGAATGACGTTGGCGAGCGGCTATTTTTGAGAGGCGCGTGGTATTTCGGAGATGCCGAGGACGATTTTATAGTCTTGGGAGGGGATTGGAGGGGGGCGGGCTGACCTTTCTTGGCTAGTGGCCAACGGCCGTCGGTACGCGAATATTCACCTCGTGAAAGAGGAATTACGACGAGCGGAGACTCGTGGGCTCACTTGTCGAAGTACTTTCTCGCTTGTTTTATATTTTATCGTACACGAGAATCGTTGTACCTTCATCTTTTCTCTCTATCTTCCTCTCACTCTCTCTCACTCTCTCACTCTCTCTCTCTCTCTCTCTCTCTCTCTCCCTCTCTCTCTCTGTATACATTACTTACGTTGAGCAATAGAGCGTGAAAATGTTTAAGATACGTGATTTTGGAATGAACGAATGAAGCGTCGATGATGGCGATGATTAAATTTCCCTATGGTTGGAAAAACTAACGTAAAGAAGAGCCTTTGACGAGCTTACGTTCCATCCGGCCATTACTTACGTTTGTAGCACTATCGATGTATTCACAAAAAATGGTTTTATCGCGTGGATGTAAATTAAAATTTATCGGCATTTGAAGAGAAGCGAGCTGCGTTGCCGTATCGAAGAATATTATCATAAATTCTGTATAAATTCCGCTATTTATTATCACAAGTTCCCAGTATAAATTGTCGAAATACAATATATTTCGAATGCATATTAAATGGAATTCATGTTTTTTCTTGTAGTTTTTTATAGCAAAGTGAACCACATTTTTTGTTCGTAACAGCGATAATCGTGAAGCTTCCTTTTCGTTCGTTTCAATACCAAAGGCGCGCCCGAGGTGAAAACAATGTCCGGAGCGAGAACGTTTTCTCTCGGATAATTATGTCGTTCCCCTCATCAAATTATTAATAATAATGTTCGTTCGCGTAATTTTATCCGTTATTTGTGAGATACTGCGGTGTTGAAATAGCCGACCATTGGCAATAAATAATTTTCCCCATTCGATGAATACTACGCTTTTTGGAATTAGGCATTTCGATGAGATTACCGGAAGATAAATGTGCCCCATTTAAGTTTATCGTTGCGATGTTTTTTAAAATGATACGAGAAGACGACGAGCCTCGTTACAATCGGCGCTTTTAATAAATCTCGACGCTCATCCGGCGAAGCTCGGCAATGTGAGATTGAATGTGCCGCTGGGACGTCGAGAAAAAGTCGAATTAAGTAAAGGACTTGGCGAAATGGCTGTCATTTGTATTTAAATGGGAGGAGGTGGGAGGGGAGGGAGAGAGGGAGAGAGGAGGTGGCGGAGGTGGCGGAGGAGGAGGGGGAGGGGGAGGGGGGGCTTCGTCGGACTGGCGAGGGAGCGATTTTAAAAAACTAGTTTAAATTCCTACGCGACAATAAGCTAGCGACTGATCACTTGGAGAGGAGAAAAAAAAATTAATAGGTGGTGCTGGTGCTACGAGGACATGCATCATCGCGAGCTTTCGTTCAGCCGGGAGAGGGAGGGGGGGGACACCCATTCGGCTGATAAAGCGACAAAAGGAGGACGCTTGAGGAGGTAGGTGGTGAAGACTTTTCGGTTCTTATCTCTGTACTTCCGTGGCTATGAAAAGCGACGCGAACTACGAGAATGGGACCCGAGTATTTTACCGTAAAAGTGCCTACGTTTAAAACTTCCTGGGCTGCTCGTATTCTCGTAATTTAACGCTTGAAATAATCATAATAATCAAATAGTATTTATCAAAATTTAATAATGCGCGGCAAACAATGCGCTCGTTTAAGCCGTCGAGGGGATTTACTTTCAATGTTGC